TAACGGGCATTCAGCCACCTCTTTGTGGGGTGAAAACACCAAGCCCCTGCCGGGGGGAGCGCCTGGGACCAAGAGACTTATTTATGGGCCAGATCATTTGTTTGTGTGTTTGTTTTTTGTTTTTTTAATGGATTCATTGCACACTCCCCTTCCTGTTTGTCTTCAGCCCCTCGGAGCTCCCATCTCCTTGCTGGGTTGTAGAAGCAGCAAGTCTTAACTGGCCACTGGTGTGTCTGCTTTAACTTGATCGACCATAAAACTGCTAGGCTGAGGGACATAGGGGCTGCCCCGTCCTTAGATGCTTGCTGTGAGGGCTACTGAAAGCCCCCATCAGGAGTCCCAGGGGTCTGGGGATTTCAGCTATGATGCTGATGTGGAAACAAGGCTGGTCTCCCCCCGTGGGAGCAGCCCAGTGGTCTTCCAGCATGTGGTGCTATTATAAGGCAGGGACAATCTGGTGTAGAGGGCCAGTGTCTGTTTTATGCCAAAAACATGCCCTTGGTGGCAGCATTTCTGCTGGGAATGGCCTCGGGGCTTTGGCCAGCCAGCTCTGCAGAGAGCCTGCCGCACCCCCTGGTGGCTGGAGTTTGTCACCTGGGTGCTCTGAGCCAACGGGCGGCTCATGCTCTGTTGGCTTTTGGAAAACTGGCTAATCTCAAAGGGAGGACGAGGGTCTTGCTTTAAGGGGGTGTTTTTTGGCTGATCGCCCGATTCCTTTGCTCACAGCGGTGGGGTCCTGGGCCTTGAAATGCCAGACGCGCCCTCGCTTTAACTCTGTCGGGCCCATGCCAGCCGCTAGATCTGCACGGAGCAGCGGGTTCAGGTAGGGGAAGCCCTCCTCTGTTCTGGATGGCTACCCCCAGCTGGAGGGGGGAGGAACTGGCCCTTACTCTAAACAGGGTTAACCTCGGTCACGTTACTGCAGGGGAGCTGCTGGTGCTCCTGCTCCCCTCCCTAGCTGGTGCTGCTCCAGTTGACACTGTGGCTGCAGGGGGCAGTGTCTTCATTTCCTTACACGCACACGCAGCAGCAGCGATTGCATTGTGAGGGGCACAGGGCAGCAGCAACTAGACAAGGTTACTGTGGCCTGTCTCAGCTCAACGCTCTCACTAGGGTCGGCTTTTGAACTAAGGTAAATTAATCCAGCTACCGGGAGCTTAAAACGCACGGCCAACATCCTGCACAGGTGTGGGGGTGTGGCTTTCTCACCAGTGCCCTGGAGTGAGCAAGGCAAGGGTTTGAAAGACACCTGCAGTGAGGCAGTCTAAACCGAACTCCTCCCCCCGACCTTGAGAGCAAGCTGTGGTGCCTAGTGGCATTGTTCCCTTGCCGAGGGGTGCTGTGCTGTCATGGGCTTCCCGGAGCAGGCGGCCTGCGGCGTGGATGCTGGTGTAGTCCCCTTTACTGGCAGTGTGAGAGGTAGAACCACACCCTGTCCAAACCGAGCTGGGAGACTGGGTCCCCCAGCATGAATAGTTGTACAGGACTGCTTCAGGCTTTACTCACTATACAATCCGCCTCATTTGTCTCTGCGGCTTCCCTCCTCCTCAGCTGCTTGAGCAGAAGAGACCAAAGCAATCCAGTGATTTCTGGAGACCTGCCCTCGTTTTCTCTTATGGTGCTTCTCTCCAAAGCAGCCCCAAGGGGAGGCCCTAGCGGCAGGCCCCCTTCTCCCTGCTGGCTTTAGTCATCAGTAACCAGCAAGGACCAGCATTTTCCCCCTCGCACCTCTGCAGAGATTTGCTTTTGGATGGAAGCAAAGGGCCACCTTCTTTAACTGCTGTAAGGCTGCCAGCAATGAAGTTACAGCCAGGCCCAAGTTGTGGGGCAGGGCTACTGCCAAGCCAGGTAGCTCTAGCCCTCTCACCAGCCTTGAACCTACTGGCTAAGCAGTGCAGAGGCTGTTAGCACAAACCAACACAAGTGCACAGGGACTAACCCTGAAGCTACGAGGCAGCTTTCTACTGCCAGATGCAATTGCTTGAGGGATGCAGCACTGTTACTTAGGAGGCTCCCAAGGAGGAAATAATTAGGGTTTAGAACATTAGTGGAGGCTCATTGTTTTAGTACAAGACATCAGCTACCTCCAATAGAGGTGGGAGATGGGGGGCCTACCCACCTCTTCAGCAGGACCACTTGTGTTCAATGGAGGCTGTTGCTAGTAGCTTCTACATGCAGCAGACAAGCCCTATACAGTGTGGTAAAGAAGATGTATTACACTCATTTAACTGATCTTTTGTCCTGGCCATCTAGATGGTCTGCTATTAGAGCAGCCTGGGTGATTGGTGGAAGCTGTGAGTCGCTAAGACTGCTCCGGGGTGAAGGCTCTGGAACACCTGGGGAGCATAGCTCTGCCTTCCTGTTCATTGCCCTGGGGAAGCAGCAAGAGAGGATTAAGCAAGAACACAGAGCTTGTGCTTTAGAGAATGACCTCAGCTGCCCCTATACTGTGTTCTCAAGCAGTCCTTTTCTTGGCCTTTGCTGTTGCCCTGAGGTAGAGCAGAACGACGCTCCCCTCTGAGGTTAAGGCAAGGTTAGTTCAAATATGGTTCTTGCTATCTAGGGGCTGCTAACCTTTCCAAGCTTACTAGGGCAGTTGTCCTTTGTTGCTGCCATTAAAATCTTTGCCCACTTTCACCTAAGTTGATGCAAAGGCTCCATATCAACTGACCTGTGAAATGGTGTTCAAGAGGCTGCTTTGAACTCTGTTGTAACGGTTACACTCCCATCCCCGCTGCGTCAGCAGCTAGATAGCAAGAATCTTATTCCCAGGGTCTCATCTCCTGTAAGTCAGCTAAGACAACTCAGCCTAAGCCAGGAGCAGGCGTTTTATTAACTCCATAACATTGGTACATCACATTAGGGACGCTGGAGCTTTGTTTAAGATAGGAGAAAGCTGAGAAATGCAGTAGTTTCTTACAGAATAAGCCAGATCTAAATTATGGAGAGATTACACCCAATATTTCTCTCTCTCCTGTTCAAAGCCTGTTTGATCATTCAGCCAGCTTGCTTTTGTGCACTTGCCTTTAGAATCCGCGGTGCTTAGTACGCTGGCTGCCTCAATTCTGTTTGTTTTACTGGACTGGCTCTTAGCACCTCTCAACTTACTTAAGAAATCTTTACTATTTAAAATCCTAGCAGGTGGCCATTTGAACATCGCTCACGCCAGCCAAGATTTCAGAACTGGAGCATTGGTCACTATTGTTGCAGGTTACTTAGAGCAGTCAAACTACTGTATAAATATTCCCTCTTCTGCCTTCCCTGTACAAAAACACTAGCTTTTTTCTTGTTACCCTTTCAAAGGGCAGACCTTAAACTTACGGTTATCATTGCACACTGTATAGAAATGGGCATTTTGTTAGGGTTTGGGAGTGGGGTAAGGTGAGCAAGAAACAGCTCCAGCTATTTGCTTAGATTAGGAGGTACGTAAATTTCACTTTCATTACTTAATTGAATGTATGAAGACAGATGCTGTGAATAGTTATCTGAGCATGGGTGGTGCTCAGTAACTCACTAGAAGTAGCGTTACATTTCAGGATGAAGGGGGAACAGTTTTAGGAATCTTATCACTGGTCATTTATATACAAGTTTATTACCTGTTCAGGTTCTTTTTTCATGTTGGTGGTTAGTTGCTCTAACAAAGGCATTCTAGACTGATGCTGTTCATAGATTGTACAATCAATGTTTTAAATAAACACCACCTTTAATTGTTTTGACCTAGGTGTAAGTCTCCCATGTGTATTTTCTTCGAAAAGAAAGCAGTTTGAAAAGGCCCAAAAGTTTCAATCACTAAGATTTGGATTTTCATTCGTACCTAAGCTCCATTGACTTCCAGTACGATTTGTGCTCTTAACTCATGGGCTTTGGAAACTCCTACCCTAATGTTTGCCCACACTGAACTCCTAAAAATGAAATGACCCTTTGTACAGGAAGGAAGCAAACAGCAGACCAGAGGTATAACTGTAATAGAGTCAATGGAGAGACTAAACTCCCTTAAAGCATCACTCTTGTTACCCATGTCTGAGCCAGAATGGTTGGCTGCAGCAGTGGGGCTGAAATGGGTATGGCAGATCCCCTTGTGGCAATCAACAGCAGCTGTATGTTGCCAGGAGTAGGAGATTGCTGTTACAGTCCCACTAGAAGAGATCCCATAGTACAGTGGTTCTCAAACTTTTGTAGTGGTGGCCCATTTCACATAGCAAGCCTCTAAGTGCGACCCCCCCTAATAAATGCTGGAGATCATGACCCCCCCCCAGGGATCCCAACCCCCAGTTTGAGAACCCCTGCCATAGCAGGAGCAGCTAATAGGCCAGTCAATATTCTCCCCTCTACAGGTCCAAGGCTACTGAATTCTCTTCTGCTAGTGGGGCCTGACTCGCTCTAGAGAAGCCTTGCAAAGGAAGGACTCCAGAAAACATGTGTAAGAATGGGGCACCTGCTCAGTGGTTGCTGTGACCCTATAAGATCCTCCCGTAAGCCCGGCCTTACGTCCATCCCTATTCAGTGAAGCATGTGAATGCTTTGAAGAGTGAGGGCTTTTGTCTCCACTGCAAGGTACCAATTTAGCAAATGTTTTTAAACCCTCACTTCTGCTCCAGGCAGGAGAGTTTAAACCCAAGAATTTAAGGAAAGCGAAACAAAGTTGAGCAGCCAAGTCAGTTAGCTACTTAGCAGGAGTTGGGGGAAAGCTGTTTGTCATGTGATTTTTCAATTGATAGCTCCTCAGAAGAGCATGTAGTGCTTTACAGGGGGATGGAGGCTCAAAGTGACTCTTCTACTGTTACAGCTAGAGTCAAGTCAATTGCCCAAGTTGATACGCTCAGCAACAGTGAAAGAATACAGGAGTCTTGCCGGCCCCCTGCTCTAGCAACCGGAGAGAGTACTGAAGGGGATCTTTGCACTTGTGCTGTGGAGGATTCAGAAGGCAATCCTCCTTTGAAATGTAAAGAAAGGGGGGGAAAAACGGTCTGCTGAAGTACTGAAGCACCACCACAGTACAATGTATTAAAATACATACATTTTAATATAAAGACAAAACTTCAAAGCATTGTTTCAATTACAAATCAAGGTAAAAGACAAGAAATTAAAGTGGAAGGGAGGGGAGAAAAAAAACTAACTCTTGCATTGTGGAAAATTAGGGTGGGTGGAAAATATATATATAATATAATATATATATAATATTACATACGTATATACACACCAGAAGAATTCACACTAGTTCTATGGAAGAATGACAGGGCAACATATCAGTATAAAAAAAACCAAATAAAGATAAATTAGGGGAGGTTTGAATTTTAAATAGTTCAATTTCATAGGCTAAAATGTATAAACTAATTCCTATTCACTAGGAAACATCCCATATCACATGTTCTAAGCAAGAAAATGGGGGTTTTTTTTGTTTTAAATCCATTGAAAAATTAATTTTTATTAGTAGTTAAAAGTTTTACTAATCAATTCCTGAGCAACAGCAACTTCATTTGCATTCCTCTGTCCAGTCCCACCCAGCAAGGGCAGACCCCCACTCCTAAAACGCTTTCTTACAAAGACCAGAGACCTAAAGAATTGGTTTTTAATTTAAAACTGACCACTTCAAGAATTTATAGTAGGGGGCAGGAGGGTGGAGCCAAGCAGGCTGGATTTAACAATGCCAGAAAAATCACCTTTCCAAAGGACAATTCCACTGCACCAGAAAAGCAACCAGATGTACCTTAGAATCACAGGGTCAAACTTGAGAGAACTTCAGCATTAACATCTTCAAACCTTTAGGAAGTGGTTAGCTCATCTTTAATATTGAAATCAAAGCATGAAGACTAAAAAGACTGACAGTCACAAGCGCTAAATATACTGGAGGGTTATTTTCAGTTTTAGTATTGGGTTTATGCCCTGTTCCACAACAGTAGCATCTGGTATTGCAATATTCAGTCTAAGTAGATAGATCTTTATAATGCATAAAGGATAAATAAAATATGGCACAAAATTTAATGAAAAAGGTGCGTCCAACTCATTCGTGAAAAACAAGGGTCATCTATGGAATTGTTCAGGGGAATGGGGAAGAGCATTTGAATTAAAAAAAAATAAATCAGATACTTTTACACTGTCTACATTTGTACTTAAAAAACCTCATCTATAGTGATTTTCCTCAGTGCTGCAGAGATAGTTCACAAAAACACTTACTAATTTCTCCCCAAACTGTGATTTAAATAGATTAATGTTTTACTGTCCACTGTACAGTTTCCATTTCTTATTAGAAAGCAATAATCGTTCCAAGCTACCAGTGCTCTTAATGCTTTTGGCTCAGGCAAAACAAGAGAAGCAGAACTATTAACAACAACAACCTATGAGTATTAATTAGGAGAAAACTCTCTAAAGAAAAAGGGTGTCAAAGTTTTCATGCTTCCAAGCTCTGGTATACAAAAGGTTTGCTTTCAATACCGAAAGCAAACGGACTATATGTGGTCAATACATTCCTAACGGAGCCCTCACAGAGTTAGAAAGCGAATTACAGCTCTTCAGGGAACAGCACCTGTGACTGAAGTTATTTAGCAATCCTGGTTAGACTAATGGATAAGGCTACTCCCCGGTCAGTGAAGAAAACTGTCAAGTGTATTGATAGTCACTGGGGAGGAAAATAGCACCATCTTCAGAATGGGTGGAGGGTGGCTTCTGTTGTAGGCCTGAAGTCTAGTCAGTGGGGGGGAAATGTGTCCCTCAAACAGCAGCTTATGAGAGACTGCAGCAAGTCCCAGCTCTTGACATCTCCCTCCACCATTCCAGCAACCATGGGAAAGGTGGGGTGCAGCCTGGTGTGTGTGTGTATTGTATCTCTCTCTCTCTATCTATACAAGAGTGATGAGACACTAGCAGTTTAAGAGTCTGATCCTGCCAACACTTCCTTGGGGGCATAGCATTTACTACCAGTGAGATACTCCTGGTAGAGGAGTCAGTGTTTGCAGGACTGGGACATAACAGAAAAACACCACACACTTAGTGCTGAAGTTACTTCATCTATCCCTCCAGCTACACCACAGGGAGCAATCCTGCTCTCATTGAAGTCAATGTTAAAATTTGCCTGGCTGACTCCAGAGAGAGGGATTGGACCCTGAATTCATCTTACAAACACCCTTGGAAATCGTCTGAGTCTCCCTAGACGTCACAAAGAACTGGGCTCCATGAATGAACTTTGCCAGAAGGGAAGCGTGTGTTGGACTTTAAGAAAACAATTGGAAGTGACTGTGTTCCCACAACTGACCGCTCACATTAGCAAGACCTAAGTAGACACAGCAGCATACGGCAGGCATTGCAAATTGTCCCTGATGCAGCGTGGTTAATGCAGATCCCTGCCCTGACACACTCCAGCTATCCCGGTCCTAGGACTCTCAGCAGAACGGCAGGATTCTGGGAACAAACAGCATTGAAACCCAATTTACTTTAATGCACAATCCAAGCAGGATTTGAACCCAGGTCTCCAGAGGTGAAAGTCTAACAGTTGCCTGTGTCCCACCCTATCACCTATTTAACTAGCGCTATTGTCAGTTTCTCCAGAAAAGGAAGGTGGGGAAGGGAGGGATTAAAGATTTCCCCTACAAGGATCTTTCTTTAACTAAACCCAGCTATCAATAAAGGCTTGAATCACCCAAGATAGGAATAAAACTTGCCTCCATTTCGCCTCTACCTCTCCTTCTACCCTCCATTTTTTGTCATCATTTTATCAGCTCCAATATAAAGGGGAATGAGGGAGGGAGGGTTGGATGTAAATGACATTCTTTTCCCTGCCCCTCCATCCATTTTTAGCTCCATTTCTGTGCTTAAAAATCAATCTTCTGAGGCACATTACACTCGATCATTTTCCCCATAAGCAAAATTACTTCATCCTAGATGGAGACACAAACTTTCACAGCCAAGAGATTAAAAATAGTATTGCAGTGTTCAAGCAACACCCCTCCGAAGAAATGAGAGGAAATCCATCCATCCATCCACGGGATAAGGCACATAGGCCACTGCAAGCTACACCCAGCAAAAGGTTTGCATGGCCCGAGATGTAGCTTAATTGATCAGCCTAAGAACAGCCAAGCAAATTTGAAGCAACTGCTTGAACTCTGGACTCTTTAGAGGAAAGGTGCCATGTAATTGCTTGTTTTCACTCCTCGAACAACGGGCCTGAAATCTGTTAGTTCAGCAGACCTTCTCCAATACCCAAATAATGAGTTCAGAGCCACTCACTGCTCTGCAGCAAACGGGAGTAGATTAAAACAGCTCTGGCACCTTAATAACGGGGCCAATTTAAAAATAAAGCCCTGTGATTTTGGGGGTGGGAAAGTGCGACAGGATGGCATGGACTGGAGCTTTAAAGCTCTTGTCTAGCCACAGGCCAGTGATGCGCACAATCACTTCAGGAGCAAGCAGCAAGCATAAAGCACACCTCGAGTGACAGCAAAAGCAGCCATTGGACAAGATTCCCCCCACCCCCAGTCAAGGCACCTACCTGCACAACCGGCATAGAGGGGAATTCAGCCTACGTGGCCCACTCCAATTCTTGGCCTCTCTGCTGAGCCTGCTCACAAAGCCAATTACCAACAGGGTGAATACCCTTTGTTCTAACAGATCTTTATCCCCACAGTAAAGGAGCAATAACAATTGAGACAACCGGAAAGTCTCATTGTCTCCTTGTGCTCCCGCCTGTTATAGCCACCTGCCATCTCATCCTTAGATTGTGCTTTGGGGGAGGAGCTCTCTCTCTCAGGCCACCGATCATAACGGGTCCTGATCTACGACCAGCTACCACAATAGTTCACCTACGTTTGAATTCTTTTAGCGTGCAGTTCTAAGAGGGATGGCTTTAATTCCTGCTTCACCTGCGTTCCAATGAGCTGACAGTCCAGATTATAAACAAACTGGGAGGAAACAAGCAGGGGAGTGGCCCTGCAGACAGGAACACCTCTCTCACGGAGAAAGGGCACCCTCCGATGTTCACACATATGGGAAGCTTTAAAGAAAGCTGCACGTATCATTGTCTCAGTATTTTTTTTAAATGGAAGGCTATGGGATCCTCCATACAAACCCTTAACCAAGTCCACTTTAAACCCACTTTCTCCTCCCCTTCCCCCCCCCCCAATCTGCTGCCCAGTAGTTTCCCCAAGTACTTGGGGAAACCATCACTCCCACAACCTGCACTTAAATGAGTGCCGAGATTTAAGATCTAGCATTTATGACCCTCCCCAGGAAGATCAATGCACTTTACAAAAAGTAGCCAAGTGCCATTATCCCCATTTTCGAGATGAGGAAATAGAGGCAGAAACTGATTTGACAGAGGTCAACCATGTCAACAACCACCAGGTCTCCAGTCGCACTCCAATGCAGCCCTCACGTACACAAGGCAAAGCGGCCTATTTTCGGGATTCCTCAACCACCACTGTCCCGTATCAGAATTCTTACTGAATGACTAATCCACAGAAAACAGCAAATTTAAGTTGAATGCCTTGGGAGCTCTCCCAACTTTCTGACACTCCAAGAGGTTGTCTGGGGGCTGGGAAAGGCAAACCAGACAACTGGAGCAGATGCACTCTTCCCTTTTTTGGTGGTGTGTAACAACTTGTCTCTGCATCTGCAAACATCTACCCCCCACCTCGCTTTTTCACAAAGGGCCACACAGGCTCAGCTCAACACACTCGGGAAGTTCAATTTTTTTGGCAGATGCTACGAAATGCATTCTAGCTTCATTATGAGTCCCCTTGCCAGCAGCAGCAATGCAGATGAGAAGGAACATTTGTGACAGTAGTAGAATGACTGGGCCGGGCGTAGGAAAGTGTAAACCAGAAAGAATTCCTTTCCTGCACTTCACATTTTGGCTTAAATAATATTAAATAAATAAAGTACCACCTCAGGTTACTGAGAACAAGTCTCACACCTCTGGCACTGAGCTTTCTTGCTAAGGTCACAAATATCCATAAATTTCCAGCCATGCAGGTTAGATCTTTATTAATAATGCTTCACGCTTACATGCAGCTTTTCACCCAGAGATCTCAAAGCACTTTGTGAAGCAAGGCAAGTATCCTCCCGGTTTTACTGATGGGGAAACAGATGGAGATGCTGAACCAACTTGCCCAAGATTACAGTGAGTAAGGGAAAGAGCTGGGAGTAAGACCCAGGTCTCTTGCCTGACCCCAGTGCATCATGTGACTCCCCAAAACTTTAAGAATCTATTTCCCAATTTCTCCATGGAAAAGTGGGAATTCCCAGGCTGCGACAGAGAGAAAAAGGGGCCTTTTGGTGAGAAGCACCAGAATTCCATAGCCTTACCTGCCTCATTTCCCTGCCCTGCCTGACTCTTACCCAGAAGTCCAACTCAGCTGAGATTACTGGGAAGACAAAATCCACAAGCAAGCAATGTGCACAGAACACAGAAGGCTGCAACAGTCAAATTTAAAGGCAGAAGCTAACAAAGACAGAGAAGTTCTGGAATCCCTGCAGGTATAACTGCCCTCAGAAGCATGTTTGAAACTCACAATACAACAAAGGTTCTCATTAAACCCTTTAGCAGAACAACGGGGCTGAAGAGGCCATGTGCTGTAAGAGGATAATGGCTAGGTCTTGCCCCCATTGCACCTGGCCAGGATGGGAATTGGTTATCTGGTGAAAGCAGACTGGCTCAAGTGATATCATGCATTTCCCGCCCAGCTCTTAAATCAGGGATGTTGACGAGCCTCAATCGGTGTAACTGGGGCATATAGAGGGGCAAAGCTAGGGCCCTTGAGCAGTTGTTCACACTATTTCACTACCTACCTTTTTTTTTTTTTTAATCCTCCAAGGACCTGAGTTTGCATTTTGTTGCCTTTAATTGGGATTAAACCTGCTGAGAAGGCCCTGCACCTTTCAGTTACCCAAAGATCTGGATCAGGCTGGAGTTGCCCAATTCACAGCTGAACAATAACTGGGTTACGTGTTCTCCTGGATTCCAGGACATAACTGTTTATGGCTTCCACTAGAAGCTACTGGAGGTCTCTCAGCGGCCACTCCCTGAGCATTACTTGGCTTTCGCTAGGTTCTCTCCCTGCTGCTAGGAATCCAGCGGGATGCATCACTTCCTCCCTCTCCGCTCCCATGCGCAAACCAGAAAAGGATTACAAATATTCCTGGAGATTAGGAATAAGGATCCGTCCCTTTTAGTGATCAATAATAAGGCAAAGTTACATTAATAGTTTCTGCACACGGGGGGCACCTTTTGGAGAGGCTGAGACACTCAGGAGTGGATAGGGTAACTGAGCTGGTCAACTTCTATGCCACTGCCCGCTACATGGTCTAGAGGGAAGCAGCCAATTTGAAATACATTGAAGGTGGGCATTGTTAATCAGGACACTGCACCTTTCCAGGACAAATTCACTCCCGTGGGGAGAGGAAGGAGCTAGCGAGAATAGGAAAGTAGGAGAACATGTCCACCAGCTCCATTGGACACAAGAACCAGCATAGTACTCATGGAGACACAGATCAAACCAGCCACGGAAGCACAGCACAAGAGTGTGAAGAGATATTTGGCCTGCTCCGAGTGCAATTAGGCAGCTGATTCACGAAGCCCAGCAGTTTGTGACAACGGGAAACCGCACTAGGGAGTTGGTAAGGGAGAGCTCAACTCTCTAGTGAATGGCTGCTTGCTGGAGGTTAGAGACTGTAATTAGAGAGCTATGAACCTGGCTGGAATGGACTGAAGGATACCAAGTGCCTCTGATGCAATACGACCGTATCTCCCCAGACAGAACTTAGGCCAGCAGGTTCACTTTAGCACCGGTGTGCTCTGAATCTAGTCACTTTGCTGTCGCGATCCCTTCTGTTATTGTGGTTTCCTTTATTGGCGCTTGGTCCAGTCTATGCTGCAGATCAAAGTTTATGAAGTAATGGATCCTCCTCCCCATTTTGTGCACTTGAATAAATAAAAACCTCTTTTTACAAGTTTACTGTGCATCACACAACCTAAAAAATAAACTGAATAAAGTTTATGAAATTTATAAATTTTCATCACGTCTATAAAATACGGTCACTGCTCGGAGCGACACTTTTCTGTACACAGAACACCAAGTCACAATACAATTCAAAATGCACCAGTTTGATAGCGTGGCAGCAAGTTAAGCTAGATTGTGGTGTTTTTGTGAACTACCATTTAAACCTATTCAAAGCAAAGAAATACAAAAGCGAATGCACTTAGAAGTCAATAAAATGTACACGGCTGAGCCATTTCGGAATCAAGTATCAAAACCTTACTAACAAAATACATTGTACTTCAACAAAAACAACAAGCGGAGAAAATCTGCTGCTATCTGCCCCAGCATAGAAGCTCGGTTTTCAATCTTCCCAATATTGTTAAAAAGGGCCTGACCAACACCAGTGATTATGCACCCTGTTCATATGCCAAATGACCCCCCAAAACAAGTTAACAGTCTAGCTACTGAAATTCACAGTGACTGGAGCACCACCAGAGGTTTTAATGGGCCCAGTGAAGTAGTCTAACAGGACTAGACTTAAGTTATGCTTCTTCTGTTCTAAGTGTCTGAACCAGCTGAGTTTGCACAGGTCAGATCAGGTAATCTAGCTGCCATTCCAGAGGGGAGTATTGCATTCTGGGTTGTAATAAACAATATTAAACGCCTGATAACTGAGCCATGAGCTCTGTTAAAAAGAAAAAGAAAACCACCCAAAACTAAAGACTGCCATTCTCTGTAGCTCCTGCTTTGCTGTAAACCAATGGACTTTGGTATATGAACAGAGTGAGTTGAATAAATAAAAGCAGACCTGTCTGAGAACTGGGTTTGGCATTGGTCAACCCTCAAATTCAGCACCAAGGATTTGAACTAGAGAGGCACAGTTCTGACGGATGAAATAGCACCGAGAGGAGGCTCTTTACATCTCTGCTGGTGTGCCAGTCCTTTATTATTCAGAGAATGGTTTCAATGAGTTGCAGTTTTTTATGACTTTAGATGGAATAAAATAAGCCAAAATTGTTTTCATTTTTAAAAAAGATAAATACTTTATCTAAACTATCGACAATACAAACTGGAGCTTTTTTTTTTTTTTAAGCATTTCCTTTGCAGTTTTTTTTCAACTCCGATTCACAGTAGAATATTCTTTTCTCTGTTATTTAGGTCTTTTGTTTGTTTGTTTACTTTGTCCAGTAGTAAGAGTAGAAACCCCTGCCAGGCCAGGCGAGCACCTTTCAGTGGAAGCTGAGTGAAGTTGGTCCACGTTGTCCTTGCATAGGTCACATTGGGTTGAGGTAGAAATCCTAATTACCTGTGGGACAGGAGGAGAGGAAGAGACCCATCTAAATTAGATGCATCAAATCAAGTGTGTGCCAGAAATGTCATTTACTATATAGTTCTTAGACCTTCTGTTAGCCAGGATCAACAGGGACAGAAAGGAGAACAATCCATGTGTTGATATCAGTCAAAATTAGAGATAGATGACAACCCAACAGGTCTCTTCCATCACACCCCAACCCTTCTTGGGCTGTGCAATAATGAAATTTGATCCCTTGTTCCTAGATTTAGGCTCCAGTTCAACAAGGTAAACACACAAGTAGTCCTATTGAAGATAATGGGATTATTCATGTGTTTAAATCAGGCATACGGAGTCTAAGCCAAAGCCCGTTGGAAGTCAGTTGGGGCCTTTCCATTGGCTTCAGTGATGGACTTTGGAGCAGGACTATGCTTAAGTACCGTGCTGAATCGGGGGCTTAGATATTAGTCTGCGTTGAACTGTCACCATCTGCTGGCCTAGGCACCTCCATGTGTCAAATCCAGTGTCACGGTTCCGAGGCCTCTGCACTACCTCTAGCGTCTGTGTTTATAGAGGAGACACACTGCTCCTCTCTGGTGCTGCCTCTTCCCCTCCCCTAAATGTCTTGTCATTTAGATTGGAAGCACTTTGGGGCAGGAACTAGCTAATGAATTTGTAGAGTGCACAAGGGGTCCCAATTTCAGGTGTGATTTACTTAAAAAAAATAAGGTATTTTCACAGTGCCTGCACCCACATCATGCAGAAATAAACAAAGGACCCAAAAAACTTAACCACAGTCACATCTATACTGGCCCAAATACAAGAATTCCCTTCAATGAAAAGTGTTGCGGTTCTGCCGTTTGGTTTTGTTCTGCAGCAGGACGAAACTAAGACCTTTTGAAAGCTTTCCCAAAAATACAGAGAAAGCCCCCCGCACCCAGTGACCCTGTGGATAGGACAGTTACCTGGGATGTAGGAGACAGGTTCAAGACCCTGTCCAAACCCAGATCTCCCACATCCTAGGTGAGTGCCCTGTCTAGCTGATTATTCTGGGGAGTGGATCTCTTCCCCTGCAACTTGAGACACCTTCCAGATGACAGCTTTGTCTAAACCAATGCCTTTCGGCAAAAAGTTTCAATTTTGACAAACTGGCATTTTCTAATAAAAAAATATTCATAAAAAATCCCTCCCATTCTATTCACACCCCTCCTCTCCAAATTCAAGTTTCCATCCACAGCCCCCGTTTCCTCAAGCCTATTTTCCAGCCACTACCCTATTCCACTTTAAATTTCATGACTGTTTACATCGTACGCTGACACCAACTGCTGCTGCAGCTCTAGGCAAGTTACTTTCTCTGCTTCAGCTTCCCCCATCTGCAAATCTGGAGGTAACTTACCTATGTCACATGGGTGTTGTGAGGATTTGATCACATTTGGAGAACAATTTGATGATGAACACACTATCTACGTGCAAAGTGTTTGACAAGAATCTGAGGTGTCCTGAAATTTAGTCAAATGCCACAAAAGGCAAAGGGTGTTACCCTCTACTGGATGTTCTTCTGTACCACAGGATAGCAACAGCATCAAGGACCTGCAGGAGGGCCGGTGTTGCCTAATATTGGCTTAACTATGCAATCCTGAACTGCATTATAGAAGCAAAGGTTTGCATAATGACACTATGTGACTTTCAGGTAGTGCATATTATTCTGCAGCTGCTCTGAAAGATTCTTTAAACACTTGCTTTGCTGACATGCATGCATGCGCACGCCTTCCAGAGGTTTTTCTCTCTTCCACAGCCTCATTCCGTACTTAGCTTGGGCTAGATTTTAGCCCAGGGTATTCCACTAACTAACCTAGCATAGTGACAGGTTTCAGAGTGGTAGCCGCGTTCGTCTGTATCAGCAAAAAGAACGAGGAGTCCTTGTGGCATCTTAGAGACTAACACATTTATTTGGACATAAGCTTTCGTGGGCTAAAGCCCACCTCATCAGATGCATGGAGTGGAAAATACAGTAGGGGGACAGACAGACACACACACACACAAAATGGGGGTTGCCATACAAACTCTTAACAAGACTAATCCGTTAAGGTGGGCTATTATCAGCAGGAGAAAAAAACACTTTTGTAGTGATAATCAGGATGGCCTATTTCATACGAGTTTTTTCATGAAGTTGATGGATTTCCACTTCATACAGCTAAATTCAGTGCCTTTTTTCTCCAGCTGCTAATAGCCCACCTTAATTGATTAGTCTCGTTAGAGTTGGTATGGCAACACCCATTTTTTCCATGTTCTCTGTGTATATATCTATATCTATATATATCTTCCTACTGTATTTTCCACTGCATGCATCTGATGAAGTGGATTTTAGCCCACAAAAGCTTATGCCCAAATAAATTTGTTAGTCTCTAAAGTGCCACAAGTACTCCTCGTTCTTTTAATCTAGCATAGGCAATCTAGCAAGCCAAAGACTACCAAGGCAAGCAACAGCCAGATGGCTGACGCAATCTGTTAGTGCTTTACCTATGGGGGACGGGGAGCAGACTTCCTGCTTTATTCTTATGTAATTCAAATTATAATCACAGGCTGATTATACAGAGAATGATTAGATCAGGTTGCCACTAGGAGGCAGACACGAGTCAGCAGGATGCTTTTGTAACTCCATTTTCCACAACACTCGGTTTATCCCGGGGGGAGGGATAGCTGAGCGGTTTGAGCCTTGGCCTGCTAAACCCAGGGTTGTGAGTTCAATCCTTGAGGGGGCCACTTGGGGATCTGGGGCAAAATCAGTACTTGGTCCTGCTAGTGAAGGCAGGGGGCTGGACTCCATGACCTTTCGGGGTCCCTTCCAGTTCTATGAGATAGGTATATCTCCAAAAAAAAATCTGCAACCCTCCACTAGATCATCCTTACTCAGTTGTTTCCAAGAAAAAAAAAAAAGTAGCCTATGACCTTGAGTTCTCCTTTGTTAGCCATATAGGGCAAATTTGGTACGATGCCACAAAAACATTACCACGCTGCCACCTAATGTCACAGCAGCAGCATCATGCAAGGTAATGACATGCCAACCTGAACGGGAGCACACCCTCCTGTGAGGGAGATAACCCTGCAAAACACAGAACAGGCAGCAAACCCCTGCAGGGCTGTATATCAAGACAGATGCTTGGAAAATATGAACAATCAGCTTCTCTTCCTAATTTTTCTCACGCTCTCAGAGCAGCACATTTTGTAAAGTATTCAAGCCATGATACTGCAGGAAACGTTGCTTCAAATAACGTAAATCGGTAATTGCTGCTACCCCAGCCTGAACACAACGTTCCTGGATATCAGATGAGTTACCATCGTGAGCACTCAGTGTGTCGAGAAATCCTGACTCCCAAAACCGTTGCGCTTCGGTGTCTCCCCTCTCTGCCTTGAGATTACCTGCTCTCCAAATTTTACTGGGATCGCTCTATGTCAAAGAACCTGTCCCCACCCCACTTCCAAGCTCAGTTATGGGCAGTTGGCTGAAAAGGAAAGGAAGGTCATTTAGTATCTTGTACAAACCTCCTGTTTTCTCTAGCCTTACCTTACAAAATAAGAACTGTTAGCTAAGCAAGCTCTTTATCGCGGCTTAACCCCAGAAAGGTGCGAAGCATAAGGAGACTGCATGCCAAGTGTAACCCACATAGCGGACGTGCCAGTTGCGTTGGACTGCGGGATCATGGGCGCGGTCTGTGCCAGCGCCAAACGGGGCAGAGGTGGGTGATGGACTGTAAAGGAGGGACGGGAAGTTTTGTGCTGAAGAGAAGCTAGCTTAATAGACAAAGAAGCATTAGCAGATTGGACAGAAGCAGCGGACGAGGATGGTAAAAAAGCATCGTTAGCTGGGATGGACGGCAAGTTCTGCAGAAGCGCAGGCTCAGAGTTAGAAGCGAGTAATGGAGGAGGAGGAGGTAATGAAACGTTAGGAGGGGGTGGAGGAGGGGTATGAAACACAGTCTGCACTGGCACTCTGTTTAGGTGCTGGGCAGCTCTGTTCTCACTGGACGTTACTAAGCTAGAGGAGGGGGACTGGAAGGATGAGGTGCTGGCCACAGCCTGCAGAGGGTTTAAGCTTAGCATTGTGCTGCTAGAAACAGCACTGCTGCTGAAACTGGCTCCAAACTGATGAGAAGAGGAGGCAGAAGGCACCGCATGGTTAAAAATACCTGCAAACAGGAGAAAAAAAAAACTCAGCTTCAGCAGATGGGCTTTGTACAGTCACAAGTGACGAGAGAAACAAAACAAGCCAAAAAAAGCAAAAATTATAGCAGTTACAGCCCCATACAAAATATGCAGCATGAGATAGCAGCAAGCAATGAGAGATAATGGGTGCAGGCCAGGAGGTACAAGAGAGTCACTTACCTTCCGACTGCCAGCCTGCGTATGCCGTGGGGAACAATGGCCAGACCCAAGAGAAAGCAGAACTTTTGATTCTACGCCACACGGGTAACCTTTTGATGAGATTACCCAGTCACTAGAGTTCTTTATCTGAAGACTCAAATGACCGCTGTTTCCTCCTGCTTACCCACTTACAAGGCTGCAAGGGCAGAGAGTGTATGTCCAGCAAATCTAAAACGCTACGAGGTGAGAGTTAGGATTTCCCGACATGGTGCATGAATGATTATGGGCAGAAACTGTCTGAACCTGCCAATACTACGGGGTTAAAGGAAGATTCTTTCCTATCTGCTTCCACTAGTTTGTCTCACGAGAACAGCAGCACAGAATGCTAGAGGTGCACATGGCATTTGCCATTCCTGGCACAGAAACGTTCTCTTATCAGTGTCAGTTCAAGAGCCAGCCGAATCCTACACAAATCCCATCAGCATCTCATCTGAAAAGGATACAGATATTCAGCACGAACAAGGAAGAGGGTGGGGATGGGGGAGGGGGAGAAATCTTATGTCCTAATCTCAACCTTCACTGAAGCTGACAAGTCAGATATCCTTAACTGTTCAGAGAGGGCAGCATGGCACGTTGAACCTTTAGACCTGCAGGGAGACCTAAGCTAGTTCCAGCATAGTGACAACTGCCACGACCACATGTTATGAAATCAGAACATCGAGGTGCATTCCCATTTCCTTTAATGTTTAGTTCTATGTTCATCTAGCAGAAAGAAAGCTGATTACTCCATCAGTCATGAGAGATGCAGGATAGAGTCAATCCAAGGCAGAGCTGCTCCACCTCCTGCAGAAGTGAAAGGGTTTGGTACCTGGAGAGAAACATGGCCACGTTTTCCTCTAGCCCTGCCCTTATACCAGAGAAACAAAGTTCTGCCTACCTCCAACTGTTCCACCTGTAACCCCAGAAGAGAAGTTCCCCATAGCATGAGAGTTAGTCAGTCTGGTTGCAGCTGATGACACGTGGACCAGACTGGCAGCAGCTGGCATGGAATTAAATAAGGACTGCAATACTGAGGCGTTTGTGACCGAGTTGAGGTTTGCCTGCAAAGCCATGGGGCCCAGGGGGAACTGCGATCCAGTGGTCAATGTGTTTAAGAAAGGATGATGCGTCTGAACAGAAGGTGCTGGGTTGCCTGCAGATGAGACACCAGTGGAAAGGCTTTTGCCATTGAGAAGGCCACCAGAAGATACAGCAGCAGCAGAAATGAAAAGGTTGTGGCCGTTTTTAAACTCCACATCTCGGTCCCGTCCTTTGCCGACCTTGCCATTGTGCTGCAAGGAACTTTTTTCAGAAGCCGCCCCTGGACGAATGGTTAATTCACTGATCTCTTTACTTTTGACCCCTGACCGGTTTAAGTCTTCTCCTTTCATGCTGCCTAGGCCTTCAAGCTGCCTCTTGTTCAAAAAGGGGTTTGTCTCCAAAATCCCCACATCTTTGCTCCTCTGTGACTGAAAACCCAGAGAGGAGTTGAGGGTCGTCACATCTGAAGTCTTATGAGGAAGAGAAGCACCATCAATAAAGCTGTGTAAACCGATGTCTGTGGTCAGTCCACCGTTATACATGGATCCATTAGTGGAGTTTGTATTGGGGCTGAGTCTGTCCGTCCCAGAGGAGGACATGGTGATGTTTTTCCGTGTGTGTGCTGCAATTTTGGCATCGATGGCCATGCCATCCTCAGAGGACGGCCTAAAGGCAAACAGGGAATTCTGGCTCAGAGATGAAACAGCCTGCAATGGGCTATCGGTAGTTTTGGTCAGGTTGATGTCAGAAATTGGTGAAAAGGTAGACTTCCATTTACTGCTATTCATGTTCTCACTGGTTTGTGCTTGTCTCCTCCCAGCTAAACTGCCACCTAGTTTGGAAGAAGGGTTGCATGCATCAATAAATAATTCATTTAATCTTCAGTAAGCAAAATCTGTCCAACAACTAACTCATTTCAACAGCTGATTCTGCTTTCTGAACACATAGGGAGAAAGTTCACAGCAGCGATTAATCCCTCTATGACCCTAGGTAAATGCATCTCGAAGGACTGATTAGACTATTGGAAGAGCAGATTAACATCAGCCTTCAAATCAGACACAAGCCTAGCCAAAAATTGGTCAGGCATCCTTGTCTAGGAAAAAAGTAAATCCCTCTAAAATGCTTTATTCCACCCATAGCTTTATCCCCGGTGCCAACAGTCAGGACTACAACCTGTGCCCATAAATTTAAAAGGGCTTTTGACGCAACCAACTATAAAGAGATGGCCCCACAGTTTGTATTGTGATGAAGGCAATCCCCTGAAGGAACTGTATTAGCATAGACCTCTGCTTTGAAAGGCATGTCTGCTATATGCCACAAGCCTGCTTATCAATTGATGGTCTAAAAACTACAGGGCAGCAGGCAGCACAATGCATTGAAATGGACGGTTAACATTCCCCAAACTTACCATTTTCAATAGTCTTCTGTGGAGATTTGCTTTCCAATGATATCGTTGCAATTTTCCTCTCAATTCTAATAAGAAAAGAAAATTACTTACACAGTGCTTCTTGAAGTCTTGCTGTTACTGAGTTACCCCTATGACTTACCTCTTGATTTTTAGGTTTCTGTGTCTACCCAACTAATTTAAAAATGTACAATGCAAACTTACTAGTTCATTGTCTCTCAACCTTTCCAGACTATTGTACCCATTTCAGGAGTCTGATTTGTCTCACAAACCCCCAAGTTACACCTCACTTAAAAACTACTTGCTTACATAATCAGATATAAAAATATAAAAGTGTCATAAGAACGGCCATATTTGGTCAGACCAAAGGTCCATCTAGCCCAGTATCCTGTCTTCCAACAGTGGCCAATACTAGGTGCCCCAGAGGGAATGAACAGAACAGGTAATCATCAAGTGATCCATCCCCTGTTACCCATTTCCAGCTTCCGGCAAACAGAGGTTAGGGACACCATCCCTGCCCATCCTGTCTAATCGCCATTGATGGACCTATCCTCCATGAACTTATCTAGTTCTTTTTTGAACCCTGTTATAGTCTTGGCCTTCACAACATCCTCTGGCAAAGAGTTCCACACGTTGACTGTGCGCTGTATGAAAAAATACCTCCTTTTGTTTGTTTTAAACCTGCTGCCTATTAATTTCATTTGGTGACCCCTAGTTCTTGTGTTATGAGAAGGAGTAAATAACACTTCCTTATCTACTTTCTCCACACCAATCATGATTTTATAAACCTCTATCATATCCTCCCTTAGTCGTCTCTTTTCCAGATGAAAAGTCCCAGTCTTATTAATCTCTCCTCATACAGCAGCCATTCCATATCCCTAATCATTTTTATTGCCCTTTTCTGAATCTTTTCCATTTCCAATATATCTTTTTTGAGATGGGGCAACCACATCTGCAGACAGTATTCAAGATGTGGGCGTACCATGGATTTATGGAGAGGCAATATGATATTTTCTGTCTTATTATCTATCCCTTTCTTAAGGATTCCCAACATTCTGTCACAGCACACTCTTACTGAAAAACTGCTGACTCTCTCATTTTACCCTATAATTATAAAATAAATCAATTGGAACATAAATGTTGTACTTCCATTTCAGTGTATAGTATATAGAGCAGTATAAACAAGTCATTGTCTGTATGAAATTTTAGCTTGTACGGACTTTGCTAGTGCTTTTTACGTAGCCTGTTGTAAGACTAGGCAAATATCTAGATGACTTGATATACCCTCTGGAAGACCTGTGTGTACACCCAGGGGTATGTGTACCCCTGGCTGAGAACCACCGTACTAGTGGAATTTATCATTACCAAGAAATAAGCTACCAGACTCTCAACAGAGGTTGTAATGGAATTTTACCTACATATCAAGAATACCTATTCATGGAATTTTTCATTGTTTTTTTCCTTCCTCAGGCAGCCAGATTTACAGCACCTTTACTCTTAAAATGCTTCACATACACGGAGCAATTACTGCACCCACAAATGGGGAAGAACGTGACAGTGCTTAACAACATAGAGCAATGTTACACAACAGTTTGGAATAGGAAGTGAAGAACTCTATCTCAAGTTGAAATGGAAGTGGGAATTTTCTTAGCCAAAAATTACCTAAAAGGTGGGACTTGGTCAGGATGCTGAAGTTAGCACTCCTGCAAAGTTTATGCTCATTCTCCCAAACAAAGCCACCCACTGCAAGCATTAAAAACCCAGCTAGGAGTAGGTTCCCTATGCTCATTCTGCTTTCCAACACCTTCACAGTTTATCAAGAGATGTTAGCTACTAAAATACACAATATATATAATGCTGAAAACAAACTCTGGCTGACAAGCAGCATGGGTTCATGAGATAGATCTTTGTACTTGGAGAACTAACAGACCAGGCCTTGCATCCATGACTCTAGCCTAGAGGGCTGCATCTTCAGATCAGATAAAGCTGCTGACCTGACATCAACACAGTTAGATTCACCTGGTGCTATTGTGCTCATCTTCCGATCCCTGTTCTTCATCCGAAGTCAGTGGCGAGTAATGAACACCGTTGGTCTGAATCAGGGGCTTCTCTTTCTTCAGCACTGGAGGCTGGTCATTGTCCTGGTAGGGAACAGGAGAGTTCTTCAGGGAGTTTTCAGGGGAGGAAATGGCTGTTATTTCTAAAGGCTGATTAATGTTATTGACCTGGGGTGGGAAGAAAAAAAATGTTAAAGATGAAAATATTCTTTTAGTAAAGAACTTCATAAGACAATATTCACTCACGCTCAGCTTTCAGCTTTAAGACTAGCTTAGTGTTTAACACCAAGGGTCATGCTATGCTTCAATGTCACAACCCTAAAATCCCTGCACAATGCTTGGCTGCCTTTCTGAGCTTTCATGGCTGAATACTTGACCTTGAAGATGATAAAACTAGGCAGTTAAATGCATGAAAATAGGGCAAGAACATTTCACCTCAAATATCAATTTCTGATGACATGATGAATACAACCTACAGGTCCTCATTAGGAACATCCGCCATATGTTTTATGATAACACTTACGGAATAGCATTTGCTTAAAGTCAATGGGACGTAAGCACTCAAGTCAGTTAATTTATTTTACATGGGGTAAAATTTAGATTTCACTATAAGCAAATGTGTTTCACGATCACTTGGAGAATCAGAATCATTTTGTTAAAGATTCTGTTTAATACTTAATATAATTTTTTGAGGGGAAGGTAAGAGGACTTAAAAGATTCTGTAACTACAACTAAATGGATCATTGTAACTTTCAACAACCTGTTGGCTCTTAGAGGAACATGTTCACATGGGTTTTTTATGCTACAGTCCAGAACACCAAACCTGTAACAATGTACAGTACTGACATGCCAAACATACCTACATTTAACCGCAACTCCCATCATTCTTTTCCTTACCATTGAGTTTATATTAAGTGGTGAGCCTGAAGGCTGAGTGAAGAGTCCAGCCACAGTTGGTAAGGATTTGCGTTTAGGGGACACCCCGGAGTTCATGTTTAGATTCCCGGTGGAGGATCTCTTCCTTCGACCTCGTTTCTTCCCATCCTGCATGTATGCTTGGCCACAGTCCATCCGAATGCTTGCTGTCAGGGGACTGTGCTTGTTAGACGGAGACTGTTTTATACTTCCTGTACCAGGAGAGATTGTGAAGATGATTCTTCTCTTGGCCTCATTCTCAGGATCGGAAAAGGCGGCATCAGGCTGAAGTTCCCCCTTTGTTCCTTCGGCAAACATCTTCTGAGCATCCACGTACTGCAGTACCCCTACCATGCTCTGGGAGGCACCATTTAACTTGGGGCTTGCTGAGTGCTGGTGAGCCGGGGAGTTCTGCCCAGAGTTCCGTGACTGCATCATTAGCAAAGAAGGGTATTGTGGAGTGGAGCTCCGAGACCCTACCGAGTTAAACAAACTCCCAGAGTCGTCCGCAGCTGCCTGATCAACACTATGGTTAAGGTGGGCGGGGCTGTTTGAAAGAGTTCCATTAACTGCCATGGAGCCAGAAGAATATGAAAAACCTGTGGAAAGGGAAAGTGTCACTAAACAGAAGCAATGACGTATCCCTTCCAGTGCTAGTGAGACTAAATCTCTGGGATATGTCCGAGTGTTCAACTATCCTATCTGTATTAGATTAACTGGCAATTCTGGCCAAGCAATAACTCCCAGTCATCTGCATCATACTATGTATTGACCTCTGCAAGGCTGCCCATCACACAGTGAAGCCAAGAACATAGCTGTAGGTGTTGGTGAATTAAGTCAGATTTGTCAGTTCCCTCTGCTCCCTTCTACTGACTCACAAAAGTTCATACATAACATGCAAGTGTCCTGCTTTTAACCCAATTTTTGTCACACCTCAAGTGCCTTCTCCGGATAAGATGCTCACCTTGGATTAGAACCCAAGAACCTCTCTGCTCCCAGCCCTTTCCTCTAGCTAGTCAACCACACAGCAAGAATCAGCCAGTTTCTTTCCAAAGAGACTGTCATCAGCACACCTTGCCCCTCCCCATAGCTCAAACCAAAAGGAAGCAGGGAGAAAACTGTGGTGGATATTCAGGAAGTCAGGGGACTGAAGGAACCTATGTGGAAGTTGAGGGAAAGGGGAGTAATGAAGTTCATTAAGTATCTGCAGCAATGCATCATGCATGGAATTTAGATAGGGCCTTCTTTCCTTGGATAGTTGGGACTAAGGGGAGCTGGGAACCCTATGTTACTCTGCAGCATTGACTAGAATTGGCTTCAGAGGGAGCTGCCTTCAGCCCTTGTCTGCTGAAAGGATGTTAATCAGAACAGAGGCCCTGAGGGTGGGGAGCACAGAAGAAGAAGGACAGTGCCAGTCTGATGAGGATACAGCTGTGGAAGAGCACTTCCTGCAGGCTATGCTGAAGTGGCACTCACTGGTCCTAAGAAGTCTGAATAAAGGGTCTCTGAGTGGTTTTGGGGAAACTGCTCCTGCCCCTTGAATGGAGTGTAGTGGGTTCGCTAAGCTCCCTATTGTTGAGAGTGGCAGACACAAAGTCAACAGCTGTCTTTCCAGACTCCCGAGAAAGGCCTGACTCATTTCTCTGTGCCAGGGTTCCCTTTGGGAATGTGCTCAGATTACTGGGGAACAACCGGATCCACCACAGTGGTACAGATGGAGGTAGGATTTCCCCAAGGGTGGGGAGACCATCTGTTCCATCCTTTATTTGTGCTGATGAGAGAAAGAGCTAGAGGCAATGGTCTGCCAGCATTCCACATAGCAACTGCAGCGAGGAGAATCAGGAGGAGAAGAGGGGTCACAAATGGGCATGCAGTTGGATATGAGTAAATTGAATCTATACAGATGCTGGAAGAAAGCTTAAGGGGGACTTCTCGCACTGGGTGTTCAGGACTGACCAAAAGGAACACACTGCCCATCTTGGTTTGTGATTCTTTTTTCTGAACTGCCACACCCATATGTTTCCACCAATGAATTACCCTTCCCTTCATTGTGTTTTTCAGCCCTACTATACCCGCAATCCAGGTCCTCCTCCTTAACCCAGGAAGATTCAACCTCGATATGAAACTGTACCATACATCCAGCTCTCTGCAGCACCAGGGGCTCTCAATCCCAAGCGCCCAAAAGCTCAAACACACATAATGAAGAGTTATTGCTAAGAGACATGGAGGTTCCATAGAGGAGAGTTCATTACCTGAGGTAGCCAAAGCCAGTGGCTTATTTCCAGCAGCATTGCTTATGCCATTATGAGAACTAGCACCATACTGTTTTTCAAGTGTTGACGACGAGTCTCGATTCTGATGAACTGGACTAGGTGTGCTTCTCTGGAGGAGGTGAAAAAACAAAGGCACTTCAGTCCAGGAAGTTTGTTCAAGTGCTGTTCATTTAACAGAATTCATGGGCATTTGTAGGTTTGTGACTTTAAATCCCTCTGGATTCCCTAAACCTTCTAGACTTTGTATAGTTTCAGAAAATTACAGTTTAACTCCAGGCTGCCCAAACATCATCAAACCAAGAGCTGCATCGGCATCTTGCTGCATCTGGTTTCATGTAGCCTGCAGAGATGTCATGTCCAAACATGTAATAATCTTTCCACCATAATGCATCGCTGCATACTGAGACATGACCTCTCTGCAGACCACACCTTTGGTATTAGCAGTGAGAGCCAGGCCCTGGACTGCACTGTAGGATCCCAGGGGCTTCATCTGATCATCTCCTGAAACGTCATTGTCCATGCACAAGGAATATTCCACTGCCCACCAAAAAAAAAAATCTGGCACCTGGAATAAAAATGACGGTCTCTGACCTCATGTAACTAGGAATGTATTGCTGCACAAATTAAGAGTCCTCCAGTAATTCCAGAGCCTCAGTAGCCTTCCGGCTACTGTGCTGTAGTTTGTTTCTAGAATTGCTGGTTTCACATACAATGCCGTATTTTTCAAAAGCACAAGAAAGTGCTTGTTTTGACAGGGTTCCCAGGGACCTGAGAAACTCAGGTGTTAGACAAGCCCATGACCTGTGCTCACAAGCCAAAGAGAAGAAAGGGACTGAAGCGATTCCTCTCCTTTGAGGAACAAAGGGTGAACTCAAAAATGTGTAGAATGGTTTACCCTTTGGTCCCATCAATGCCTGCAGCTATAACCAAGCCACAGATCCCTGTTTGGATTAGGGGACAAACCTAGTGCAGCTACATCATCGTTAATGGTGATTGGTTAGACACGACCTAAGGGCATTCCACCACTGGGTTAGAGGTTTGGACTATTCAAGGGGTTAGCCCAGTTATGGGACACAGTTAGATCCCATCTACACTACAACTTTTAATATTATTTATATTGTGTTAGCATCTACAAGCCAGTGTCATGGACCAGGATCCCAATGTGGTGGTGGCTGTACAAACACATCCAAGTGCCTTTGACTCAGGACAACTGCGTCGTAAGGAGGTCCCTCAATCCATAGTTTTAGTGTAGATGGGAAAAGAAACAAAGGCTGTATCGTACCCTCAGTTCACACACACAGCTCCCCTGAAATCAGTGAGAACTGCACACAGACAGACCGCATGGTGTCATCCTGAGTATTTCTGTTCTCAAAATGCCTCCATGATGAATAAGCCATCAGGAACACTAAAGAGAGCGCCAGATTCCCACCTGATGCAAGTCAGCACAGGCCCGCTGAGTTCCATGGAACTATCCCACACTACACCAGCTGAGTAGCCCAGTACATGTACATACACATATGCACACATTGTAGGTGCTCAGACTTCAGAATCAAGCTCTCCCTTTGCCAGACCAGTTATTAGCAAGGGGTATTTCCCAAAAGGCAGCCCTAACTCCCAAGGGCAGCAGTGTAATTCTGTACCGATGCCACCTTCCTCCATTTTAAGAGATGTGTCTGCCTGGAACCAAAACAACGGGGCTCTCCAACACAGCTGCAAGGCCTTTTGCTAGGAGAAGGGACACGGGGAGTCAGACTACAATACCCTCCAACTGCAGCTGGCTCTGGCATCTGTGTAATAATCCCTTCTTTAGTTCATCAAAGAAAGAACTCCCTGTGACAGAGTGCTAGGAGCTGACCCAGCACTCTAGCCGCTAAGGTACTAGCTCCCCTCACCCCCACCCCGAGTGGATTTAATTGGGGGGGATGGGTGCTAATAAGAGCAATCAACCGGGAACAGTTAAAGGACATGAAGGAAGTACAAGAGGGAGGCTGGCAGGGGCCATGGGATACATGATCTCAGGCTGGAGAGATCTTTCCCTCTCCCGTGCCAGAAAGCGGGCTACGGGGGGTGGGAAGTTTATGTCCAATTGTATGTTGCTGCACAAGGCTGCACTGGTAAACTGCTGGAGGGGACTCAAAGACCACACTGGTGGTCACAAACTGGGAAGCATCCAGCCAGTTTGAGATGGTTCAATGGGCTGAGAAGGGAACCATTAACCCTCCTCTTCCCTCCACTACCATTCAGGTGGATTCCAAATCCATGCTTCCCACAGAAAGGCAGTGAATGCTCCTTAGTAATCTACTGGAATCCCCTTTGGCAGAAACACTGGAGGGAACTGGATGCCTTACATCCCTGGTCTCTCAAGCACTGATCCTCCCTCCCCCACTGTCCTTTTCATGCTCTTTCCCCTGGGAACACGCACCAGCATAGGTCTGCTGAGATTACAAGAAAAAAGAGTCCCAAAACATTTCCAGTTGTGAAAGCTGAAAAGATACTGCAACAGCTCATGCTTGGCGTGTGACAATTTCAAAACACTGCGCAAACTCAACCTCAGCACCCACATGAGGTAGCCCCATTATACCAATGAGCAAACCAAGACAGACGTTCATTTGCCCGGTGTCACATAGGAAGTCAATGGCTGAGCTGAAATTAGCACTTGGGATTCCTCACTGATAGGCCCACATCCTACCCATCAGGCTAGGCCTGCCTCTCCAGCATGCCATAGATTCAGGACGTAAGTTGTTTGGGGGCAGGGACTTGATCTCTCTCCCTGTCCAGGACACATGCTGGTCTAACATACTCTAGGAAAATAACTGTCCAAGATCCAGGCAGAGAGACAACATCAGCAGTCACTCCAAAAGCATCAAGGGTATGCTAGCTCAACGTCCTGGCCAGGATTCTGGTGCATGGTATACGATTATTTCCCCAGTTTGGTTTTTGGTTAGGGATGGAAAGTGTTGACAATCCCTTACTCACCACCTTCTCAACACGGCTAGGTAGGACTACGCTGGCCAGAGGGATACTAACAGGGAGTTTATTGGGCTGCACCGTGCTGAGAGGAATACTGATAGGTAGGCTGGTGATAGTTTCTCCATTACTCGCAGAAGTCCTCTCTCGCAAAACCTGCAAACACAAAGGCAGCCTGTTTCAAAGGGGGCTTGTTACTCACTAGTGAGTTTCCCCAACAATGACCAAACCCTGCTACTTCTCAGCATATGTTGACATTTTTATATAAATATAAGCTGTATGCATTTTTCCCCAGGCACTTTGCTGTCGTATAGAACGTGCTGCCTGATGGGAACAAATCTAAGAAAAGGGTGTTTGGATGTATTGCAAAGACAGCACATCAATTCAGCCAACAACCCACTGCAACCATAGACTAACGGCTGTGTCCAAAGGAATCTGAACCAGATCACCTTGGACAGGAAGGATGGAGGCTCCAATGTGGGCCTCAAGGGGGAGAGGAAGGGACGGAGTTTTCAAAAGCTTGTTTCCCCACATCCTTGCCCGTGCTTGGGGATCCACAGCCTCTTATTTCTTAACATTTACATCAATGAGAAGTGTAAACATTGATTTGCTGCTGGCGAAAGGTGCTTGTCCGACAAATCTGTAGACAGAAGCCCTCTTCCACAGAACAGGCACAGAGCAGGCAGCAGCAGCACAACCCTCCTATCACTGCCACCCGCTAGTGTGCCTCCACTCTGCTCCAGAATGGGTGCCTCTACATGGGAGATGATCGTTCATACTCCATGGTACATTCTCTCCTCAGCCTCTCTGCTGAGGCCAACACCTAGATGATGTGAGGTGGGATTGGTTAAGTGAACTAGAGGAAAACACTTACTCATTTTACAGAGTTCAGTGAAAGGCATCTGATAGCAATAAAACTTTTGGTCACTACCAGCCTAGTTCATAACCAGACTCTCTCAACCATCCCGTTCCTTCTTTTGACGTCTTGGACATCTTCCATATCATGTTATGCCCAATGCTGAGTTGGCTTTTTCTATGGCTACCAGAAAGGATGGAGTCCACACCAGCATGCCATAGATTCTAGCCTAGAGCTTTTATTTCTTTGCTCCGTCAGAAGCATTTCCGTTGACAGCTCTGTGCAGAGAAGCCAACGCGTTCCTTACCTTCTCGCCTGCAATCGGTAAGGCCGCTGGGGAAGAGGGCCGAGTTTCCTGAGGACTCAGCTTTATGCCATTTGAAATGCCAGGGCTTGGATATGTAAGGCCGTTCTCTTTTACATGGTCAGCTCTGGAACAAAGATGTACACAGTCAGTTTTTTCCTTCTCATGCCCTTTGTCCAAAATGAATTCCTATTACAAACTCAAGGCATTATTGCCTTGCTTACCTGATAAACTGGCATTGCTGGATATACTACTTTACAGTTAAATGACTATGCCACAAAGCTTTACCACGCTAAAAATCTAGGCTGAGATCCTGTTTTCTTCTACTGTCTAGGTATATTGCCAGCAACACGACAAGCATTACCACACCGCATTTCCCAACACAGGAACTGACCACTCTCACCTCTGGTGTATCTCATTAGTTGTTGCTTTTCCATTGACTGCATGGTCCTGATTCAAGTGTCTCCTTAGGGCTATCTTAGCTGGGGAAAACCTGGTGTAATCAGGTAAGGACAAGCTTGCTGTCTTGTCCACCTTCTGTCTGTTGCTGTGGTTTGGGGTGCAAGGAATTATTTCTTGGTCCAGGTGAGAGGTCATGTATTGAGGGGTGTTCTGCTTGGAAGAGGGCCTGCTAAGAGCATTATGGATTTCATAGGGAGTAGCATGGCCATTCATGGACAGTTCAGGGCTCATGCCATTGATGTGGGGCATAGGAAATTTAGAGCACTCAAGCTCAAGTTGGAATCTGCCGTGATCAGCCTCGGGCTCACGGCTTAAACGGTTTTTATTGCGTAGTTGAACCGACAGAGACTCATCAGGAGGCATATACGATTTCAGCTGCATGAGCTCCTGCTGCCTTTGACTTTTCTCAAGCTCCACAATGCTGATCTTTAAATGAAGAGGAGGACAAAGATTAAAGACTGTACCTAAAAATTATACCACATTTTGGAGTTTTCCCTTCCAGATGCTTCTCAGAAAAAGTGTCCCCTTTTTTGGTGATAACTCAAAGCAAACCATCTATGATTTAAAGAACAAATTTCAATACACCGCTCTGAATTTGTGAAATAAAGGTACAGGTAGAAAAAAGAAGGTTCAAACAGACTACTAGGGAACATCTGCTAGAGCATGGCAGGCAATTTCCAATAAAGAGTCTGTAAAAAGTCAGATTTAAATAAAAATACAGCCTAATTTAACACTATTGGATGGTGGGGGAAGGGGAAAATGACACCCCATCCTAAGAGTGTTCAACCATGTGCCCGATAACACATTTGGACTGGGTTACCACTTCTTATGAGAAGCCAAGAGAACCAACCCCATTGCGAAAAGAAAGGTCCTCTTGGCAAGATGTTTCTATGGGAAGTGATGTCTGACATGAGACACGCACACAGGAGATACAATATAGGAGCAACAGAACGAAATAGAACAAAACCAGTAGGACCTTCCTTTTCACTAGACAAAGCATTTTAAGGACACAGGGAACAGCTGATAAACCAACGCTCGGGTTCAGAAGCCCAGAGCAATACCAGAGGCCAAGCAAACTTCCATGATTTGCCCTTTATATAGCTGAAAGTATTATCTGCAGCTTTGTTCTTCCTAGTTTTATCAACCCACCTTCTAATCATTTTGTCATACTACTACTATGGCAGCATGTTTATGTTCCAATGTCATGTAATGCAAAAAAACCAAGATGTGCCCTAGCGGGAATACTGGCTGAATACTACTTCGAGCTGGTGGCACTAAATTTGCTCCTGGTTCTACCTGCAATTCCAAACAGTGCTTTTGTTTCTCAGAAATCTGATTCTTCAGTGCCTGCTTTTCCTTCAGTAAGCTCTCCAACGACAGCGTTGACCAATCCAACTTCAGTTCTTCGCATCGTGCTTTAAGCTGCAAGTGCATTAAAGGCTTGGTCAGTGGCATGTTTCACAAATCCGAACTATCAACAGAGCAGGGCAGAATTCCATCCTCCTTTCCACTGAAATTTGAAGGGAAACTTTGATCATACTGAAAACTAGCTCTCAATTCAAGGCAAACATTGCAGCTTTACAGAAAAATTGGTTTCCAATCCCTATTTAAGTAGCTGGAGTTGGGGCTTATAAGGCTAACATTACTCAACATCCCTAAATACTTCTGTGTACAGTTTCTCCCACCCTAATATTAACTGTGGGAACTGCTGAAAGTGACGGCTAGATAAATGATATATGGCTACAGCCAAGCGAGCCCTGGGCAAACTTCTTGGCCACGGTGTTCTATCACCCCAACTTCAAACTGCTATCCCATATGTGCAGCGCCTGTCTGCACAGCGGTGTACTGTGGACGAGGTTGGGGCCACCCAAATCAGCTGTCACGTCAGAAAACTTCTGGATTTAAATTAAGATGTCTGTGAGAATGGACCACCCAACCCCACCCTTTGGGTCAAGATTCATTCTTTTGAAATGCATCTTGATTAAGAAGTAAGAGAAA